CCTACACTGATCTGGAACCTTTGAGCTTACAGAACAAGCTGATGGACGCTATGTCACAACCTTACATAGCTACTGATTCTCTCCACGAATCTATGTTTTCCCCTCCATTGACACAGACCACCAGCGCTTCAACATACGGACATTCTTTAGGAACAGCAAATCACAGTCATTCGAGTAGATGGGCGCCTGCTGCACAAGCTATCTTTACCACGGAAAGCACTTCACCATACACTATTTTGGCGGCTAACGACCTAGCCTGTCTCGTATTTGGTGTTACAAAAGCAGAGGTTCGCAAAATGGGTATCCTCGAAGTTGTACAAAAAGAAAGAAGACCATGGTTGGAGGAGAAATTGAGTGCACACAGCTTGGGAACTGAGTAAGTAAACCTTTATTATCTTGATTTTCTAAAGCCTTTGATATTTCGCTTTGTGGGCGTCAGACTTTACCCCGCATTTTATTTCCCCACGAAATATTAACAGCCTTCACAGGGTTGGAAAACAGACTACCCTATTATCACAGAATCAAAGCCAGCAATCAAGCTCAACATCAAGCAGTAAGTTGTTTTTCTCAAAATCAGACGATCTCAAGATCTCTACTCCATTGCTTGTATACTGACCAGGGCTCGCAGCATCGATGCTGCTTGGACGGCCTGGTGGTATCACGGCTAGCCTCTTGAGTAAACCTAACTCGCGTCAAGTACAGAAACCTCCTCGTAGAGCGCAAACCGACGATGGTGCAGGATCCAGTCTTGTTTCGAGAACACGAGCAGCAAAGGGTGGCTCAAATCATCAAAGTAATAAATCTAGGGGTGTTCTTTTATGTGGCGACGTGGTGCCTATTGAAAAAAGAAACGGCGCAACGGGTTCGGCAAGCTTGTGGGTCAAGGAGAAGAGAGGTGGCCTTATCTGGGTTTTGGAAGAGATTCATGAAGATGTAGCCATCGTCAGCCTTGACGATGATGCTGCCATAACAAAAATATCTGGATCTATCGATGCGATATGGGGAGCCGACATTGATTGGACAGGTATGGATATTGGGAAACTTTTACCAAGACTTCCACGCCAAGGAATCGATGGTAGGAGTGGAGAGATTGATTATGCCGAAGTCAGTAAACGGAGATATTTTACCGCCCGTACCTCTGGACGTGTTCATATTCCCGCAGTCGTCGACAGAGTTCCTAGTAGCACGGATCTCCGCGTTTCTAGCTTTCCTCATATTGCTGGCATCATGGTTTTGTCTGCGCAAACCTTGAAAATCACGAGCTCCAATTCCGTTTTCTCTGCTGCATTATTTGGGCAGGATAAACCCGACGGTCGATTGATTACTGATTTAATACCCGATTTCGATAGGATGTTGAAGATTTTAGTCGAAGAAGATGGTGTGGATATGGTTGATGGAATTGTCATTCCTGAACACAGCTTTAGACGGGCTCAAGCTTTTCTTGCACTACGGGATGGAAAAGCCGATGCATCAACATATTTCTTGAGACCAGACGGATTGTCAGCCAAACATAGGGACGGTTCAGAGCTCAAGATTGACGCTCAACTTAGGGTTGTAAAATCGGATCCTAAGACTCCCGCTTACGATGAAAACGTCATCGAAGAAATAAGCGACGAGGAAGACGAACTCACGCCCCACGAGCCTGTAATAAAATCCGAACTTGTCTACGCTTTATGGATTACATACTCAAGGAATATCCACGCCGCAAAACTTGCTAATGGTATGGAAACTCCCATGTTGACTGGATTCGAAACACCATTACACCAACCTTCTCCAGGTCAAACTGGACCTCCAGCTCCCATGAAAATGGACTCTTCAGATTCCGATGAGCCCAAGAATGAAACATCACATGCGTCTATGCTCACAGCACAGCTCAAGGCCGCAGCAAAAAAGACAGCGGCTAAGTTTACAGGTCGCGATCGGTCTTTTTCGAAAGCTCATGAGAAGGAAAAGCCAGCTGCTCCAGCGGAGGTCAAAACTGTTGTCAAGAAGAGCATTGATGATTTCACAATACTGGAAGAAATGGGTCAAGGAGCTTATGGTCAGGTGAAACTTGCTCGATTCAAGAAGAGCGGTAACAATAAAGTTATCCTCAAATACGTCACCAAAAAGCGAATTCTTGTCGATACCTGGACTCGCGATCGTCGACTGGGAACTGTGCCCCTTGAAATTCATGTTCTCGATTACTTGCGTCGGGATGGGCTTCAACACCCCAATATCGTGGAGATGTCTGATTTCTTTGAGGATTCCGTCAATTACTATATTGAAATGGTACCTCACGGATATCCAGGAATGGATTTGTTTGATTACATTGAGCTTAAAGTTAACATGGAGGAAAAGGAATGTCGTAGCATTTTTGCACAGGTTGCACGTGCCATTCATCATCTTCACACCAAGGCTCTTGTCGTTCATCGCGATATCAAGGACGAGAACATAGTCATTAATGGTGAAGGAAGTATCAAGCTCATTGATTTTGGAAGTGCCGCTTATATCAAGAGCGGTCCTTTTGACGTCTTCGTAGGAACCATTGGTAAGTTACTCCTTTCACGTATTTGAGGTTATGTCTAATGCCATCACAGATTATGCTGCACCTGAAGTTCTCTCTGGTAAACCATATCAAGGAAAACCACAAGATGTTTGGGCTCTTGGTATTCTTCTTTACACCATCGTGTATAAAGAAAATCCATTCTACAGTATTGACGAAATCATGGATCGTGATCTTAGGGTACCTTATGTTATGAGCGAAGAAAGTATCGATCTCATCCGAGGTATGCTAAATCGGGATGTTGATTCAAGATTGACTATCGAGCAAGTGATGGACCATTCTTGGTGTGTGGAGGCAGAGGACGACGAATAAGCCTCAGGTTTCATATCGAGCGGTAGTATGAAGCAAAGCTATGCGCCAAAAAAAATTATCAAACGACAACAAAACTAAATATGGAGGATACCAAGAAAATATTTTGGTTATATCGAAACAAGCAGATGAAGAAATACACGAAAGAGAAGAAATACTTAGATTTCATGATGTCATGAGAAGAGATACCCCCTTTATGGAAAGGAAGACACAGTTCAGAGGTTTGATTTATTAGCGAGAATCTGAATCTATTTCAAATGGGGAATTGCGTGGGGGTGTCATTGCCGGATTGTTTTTCGTTGCGCACTTTTATATGATGGGGATTTCAAAGGGTATTTCAGATGGACGGATGGATGGGACGAAGGGATATGGAAATGAGCGCATCAGAGGAAATAAGGAAGGGTGTTGAGGATGAAAGAGAGGCGGATAGGGGGCGATGAACACATATGGTTGGAACTGAAGATGTGGCTGTATTGTATATGAATGATGATGATGATGCCAATCTATCTATTGGGCTCGAAAGAGAATTGAAAATATAATGAGAATTATTGATTGTGAATGAATTAATTAAGTATATAGCCTAGTGGCTTCAATTTCGAGGGAAATATGTGATAGGAATCTCGCGATTTCTTTCTAGGGGACATTCTTTCGCTTCCGTTTCTCTCTTCTAATCGCCGTTTATTGATTGTATTATGTGTTTGAATGGAGTGCATGTTGATTTTCGTCTTCTATTCATTTTTTCGCTCTCTTGATAGTCGGCTCTCTAGCTGGCCGCTTAAAGAGTCGACTATTATAAACAAGAGTGATTTCTGAAAGTTCTCCTTCTATGATTTGGTATGTGTATACAAGGGCGTATCTATAATAAATGCTAGGTTTATATATAAGTACTTTTTTATATCAAAACTCATCTATTTTAGAATTTAGTATTAAATCAATAAACATTATTATATATTTGAAATTTTGTAAAAGTAATAAATTTTTTATTGAAAATTTAATAATATAATTTTAGCTTTTTTATTAAAGTGTTTAATTAAATCAAAATTCATATTGAATTTTTATGTTTCAAATTTTTATAAAAAATAATACTTATTTTAAAAATCAAATTTCTATATAGAATTTTATTATCAATTTAATTCAAAAATTAATAACTATAATATCAAGTTAATTATTAATTAAATCTCTTTAAATATATCAAATTTCGATGTTTTTTAATAAATATTTAAATTGTTATTTATTTATAAATATATAGATTAAAGCATGATTTTTGTTACGTAAGCGGACTCAATAGGGGTTGGAAGCTTTACCACTACGCCACGCACGCAATCTGTCTACAAAAGGCACACTTACTCTGGACGGAAAAACGGGCACACCAAACCCGTCAAAATCGAGACTTCCTTCAAAACACTATTATTTCAAAATTCAATAACAATTCTAAATAATAAAATAAAATAAACAAAATAAAAACATATTATTAATTATTAGATTCAAAATAATTAATTTCAATTCAAAATCAAAAATATTGATTATTGATTTAAAAATAAAATTTTGAAAATAATATTGCGTTTTCGGTATACCGTTTATTTCGTCCAGAGTCAGGCACAGTATCAGGGATCGAAGTCCTAATAGCTTACTACTATATATATACCCTGTAACAATTTTGATAAGGAAATTCGCTTAAATTCAGCCCAGCATTCATCAAAGACACGCCCTCGTAATTACGTTCAGTCAGATGAATCAAAAAGAGGCTGGATTGATTGGCTGCGCTTGCTTCTAGAAATCAAGAATTCAACAAATGGCATGGATAGAAGATAATCCCTGTGTGTATGAATACGTGTCGTGTCGTATACAGAGATTACCCCGCCTCCATCAGAATAAGAAATTCGAGGCACCAAAAAACACTTGGTTTTCCAAACTCTACATCAAAAAGATCTTTCAGTACTTTGAACTCTTTGGTTGAAGTGTTTCTGAGAGGTCTTTTTGGGGTTTGCGAAGTTTGTTGCACCTGTACTAGGTTTTTTGATACTGACGGTGCTCATGCGTTACATTTTTAAGTCTAAGCACCATACTTCCCAAAAATACTACTTCCCTCACGATCGATTGTACAACTAGCTCATACGTACCCTCAGATGACTGCGAAGAGAGCAATATGAGCGATATGAGCGAAGAGGAAATCCATGAAGCTGTTTTGGCGGCCGGAAAGAAAGCTAAGATTACCGGTCTCTGTAAGAGGTGCAGGAAAATCGTGGGCTGGTTCTTTCTGGAGCCAAAAGTGGTCGGAAGCATAGCCGGAAGACAGGGGGGCTTTCCTAAACTTATTTACATTTTCAAAATCGACGAACTCGAGCCTTTGTGCAAGCTCTGCAATTTTTTTCATTCCATCTGGGCTGAAGTGAAGGAAGAGGAAGATAAAGAATTATTTTCCCTTGCAAGGTCAACTGCAGCACATTTGTTTGGCTTTGGGTACGCCAACGGCAATGCGTTCGAGCCCGTCTACTTCAACAAATTTATCTTTTACCTCGTGGCTGGTGAATATGCCAATGACCCTGATAGCGATCGTGCTAATACAATCTTCGGCTTTTCTAATGCAAATGCTTATAAAGATGGAGTAGCCATACGTAATCTGTCATTACAGGCCGATTTGTCTCTCGTCCGGGAATGGATTCGGCAGTGCGATGACAATCATGCCGATTCTAACTTGAATTGCCTACCAAGAGATGGCATTTCACTTCAAGGCTTCACAGTAATCGACTGTAAAGATGGGAGGAATATCCTGGTTCCAGGTACCACCTGCATGGAGTACGTAACACTGAGCTACGTCTGGGGATCTGAAGTATCAGAAGGGCCAGATCAGTTCGGAAAATTACCGTCTACTCTTCCAAATCTTATAACCGATGTTATCAAGGTTGTCATAGCTCTGGGCTACAGATACTTGTGGATTGATAGATACTGTGTTCCTCAAGATCATTCTTCTGATATTAAATCCCTTCTCATCAAGAACATGGATAAGATTTATTCACAATCTACTCTTACGATAATCGCCACTACTGCCAAATGCCCAAGTGAAGGTCTCCCTGGGATCAGCAAGCCTAGAATAGCTGTGCAAAAATCTCTGCAAATGAATTCCATTCATCTGGTGCAGTGGGTCAGTAACATCCAGTATGAGATCAATAATTCCGTGTGGAATACGCGTGGATGGACTTATCAAGAGGCTTTATTGTCAAGGCGAAGGCTTGTGTTCACTGAGACTCAGTGCTATTTTCAATGCGATGCAGGAGGTATTCTGAGCGGCAGAGGAGGTGGTCGGATGGAAAGTATCGACTATGACCTTACAACGGAAAGAGATGAGTATAAAAGGTTTCGCATCCCAATGATATTTCGTCCACGGCCAAAACATGGCATCGGCTGGGAAATAACCCTTTTCAGCAATATGGTAAGCGAGTATACCAAAAGACAACTCTCGAAAGACTCCGACGTTCTGCCTGCCTTTCTGGGTATATTGGGTATGTTCACGTCTGAGTGCTCAATTTTTCATGGACACATATATGGAGTGCCAATTTTCGAGCCCAGTAACAAATTACTCCCTGTTGATACTACCGGTACGCTAATAATGGGTATCACATGGGACTTTTATTTCGATACTAGTATCCTTAAGGATCTCACCACAATGACCTTGCTATCAAGGAGACGGTCCTTTCCAAGCTGGACGTGGTGTGATTGGACATATGCTTCACCGTCGCCTCATCCGATCAAATGGAGATACGAAATTCTAGGTCAAGGGTTCAAAGATGTAGATATAGTGCATGACCAAAAGCTTAGCCTCGAGTTCGATAACGGCACCATACTCCCGTGGCCTCGCGAAGCGGATCTTGTCGATCTTGCGCAAAAGATTATGCTGATGGGAAACGTGCGCTATATCCATATTTTTGGGCCGTTCACGCATTTTCCAATTCCTATTAGCTCAAATCCCGAGTTGGGCCAGAAAGTGTGTGGTCCGTATGTAACAGATGGGTCGGTAATTTGTTGGCTTTCGAGGTTGGCGAGAGAACGGGGGATGAATGTTACGGATAATGAGGAGTATGTCTTCAAGGCATGGGTATATGCTTTAGAAGAAAACAGAGATTATTATCCTGTAGATTCTACTAAGAGAGTGAGACATGTTTACATGATGCTGCTTGACGAAACCTCAGATTCGGACACATTTGAGCGTATTGATGTATGTATACTTGGTGTGGAATTGGAAAGGGAAGAAAAAGAGACGGGGGAGAAAAGTATGGATATGACGACAAGGTTAGGATGGGAATGGAAGGCTTTCAGACTTGCATAGTTCTGTCGATATTTTAGAGCCTGCGAGGACATTATCATACTGAGGTTTCGACAAAAAGTTTGTATCTGATGTAAGAGGGATGTCAATTTCATATTAAAGCGATTCATCAAGCCATAGTGATTATATAGTAATATTTTACAATAACATAAACGTATATACGAGCATTAAAATGGTTATATAATATGTGAAACTGGTTGAAAGTCTTAAACAAGACCAAGTAACTAATTCCTATGCCAAGGTAACCCAATAGCCAGCGTTATTTTAACTGTCTACGTACACATTTCTCAGACCTTCTGCACAACTACTTTTGTGAAAACATTGAAAGTATATCCTATCCGACCTCAGAGTATTGAATAGGATGCGATATCATTTCATTCTTTACACATAATATAAGTACAGATCTCCTTTCTCTGACAGTGGGAAAGTGAAAAGCAAGTATGGCGTTCTCACTGTTCCTTTTGATTGTCCATTTTCTTGGTTGCAGATTCGGATATTTGGATCATGTATTCTAATATACCCTCTTCTATTCATAATACATTAGTCCTCTAAATTTATTCTATTGTAGCTTCCTAGCTTCCCAGCAGAGTGTTCAATAGTTCACCCAGACTTCATCTAGACTCCATTCATCCAGTCCAAGCAACAATCACAAATTCCAGAACATTTCGTTCATCTCATTCAACTCAATCTTTTCTAAACACTAAATACTAAACACCGAAAATTCATCTCAAATATCAAAATAGATCTATGAAATTAACAACACTATTATTTTTCATTAGAATGTCAAACCTAAAATTACAACTCGAAAAATTGAGAACACTATTTCTTCGGACTTCGCGAATCAAGAACATTACATCTCGCTTAAATTACTATCTAAACGTCTATTTCTATTTCTATTTCTATTTAAATCTCAAATCTCAAATCTCAAATCTCAAATCTCAAATCTCAAGTCTCAAGTCTCAAGTCTCAAGTACTAAGTATTAAGTACTATATAAATAAACAAATAGATACTCACAAAAAATAACAATAATCCAATCAATCTATCACACATTATTCCATTAAGTTATCAAATCTAATCAATCTAATCGTTCAAAAATACCAAACAGAATCCAGATACTTAGAGTAATAACTTCTGTTTGATCTTGCTTCAATGTGTTAGGTTTAAGTTTCGCTTTTCAAGAAGCTTCGTATACTGAGTATGAGGAGAGTATACTTCTTCTTATTTATTGCGAGATTTATTTCAATTTTTAACTATATTTATATTTATTTTCGAAACTCAGACTATATTATATTCTAACTTCTAGAATTCCCATTTCTCTTCAATTTCTATCTTTTCTTCCCCATTCTTATCTAATATGAATTTAATTCATATCCGTCTATTAGCGCGGAACCAATGTTTATTCGCTTAGCAGATTTAGAAGTTAAGATATAGGTAGTATATAGTAGATATGCGATGTATATATTCTCAGATATGATATTTTTGTTGGATTTATGTGTGGTGGGTATGGATAGGAGTTGTTTTTTTTCTATGTTGTTTATTGGAATTTGGGAGGGCGTGGTTGTTGGGAAGATATAAGGGATAAGATGGGTTTAGGGGTTGGGATTAGAGATGGTATTGCGATGAATTTCTCAAAGAAATAATGAATGTGTTGAATGTTTAAAGTATACATTGATTGTATCATGAATAAGAAAATAATCTTGATACAAGATGAGAGAGAAATTAAACAAAATCGAGGAAATCTCTTCCAAAACCAAAACATAAATCACTCTCTCACAAACCATCAACCATCAACCATGAAATTTACGCTCTACCCCTACCCAACCACCCCCTCCTCCTCCTTTCTCTCCCCCTCCCCTCCACCCCCACCAAACCTCCCCAAATACTCCCCCCTCATCCCCCCATAATCCGCCGCCACACATGGTCCCACCAAATCCGCCCACCACCCATTCTTCCTATGACTCCCCAACCCCACCTCCCTCATCAACATATCCGTATACCCCACCAAATCCAGATGAAAATAATTCCCCCGTCCCCCATGCGCCGGATATCTCAATTTCGAAAAAGTATTCTGATATGCGATTTCGCGTCTCGCTTCTTGCAAGCGAGGAAGAGAGAGATGCGAGGAGAAATAGGCGGTAGTCCAGATAGCTTGGGCTTCGGCGAGTCGGAAGGCATTGGAGAGATGGATGTGGGAGAGGAAGACGAGAGAGGGATTTTTTAAATCGTTGAGGGGAGCGAGGAGATTGTAGAGACGCGTGGGGGTGGTTGCAACTGCATGGTTAGTTTCATGCTGGTCCTGAGTGTGTGATGGACCAGGCGGATTCCGAAGTTTCGGGAATGAAGAGAGGATTTCCTGCGTTGCGTTTTGAGTGAGAGACTCCCAGATGCGCGATTCTTCTTCTGAATCATCGATTACTGGATGGGGTAATCCAAACTCGCAGGTTTGTGCAGGTGTCAGAAAGGGATATCCTCGCTTCCACCCCGTGCCACATAACAACATATCTGTATGAATCACCGTCCCGTTTTCGAGTACAATGGCATGAGAATCCAGCTTTGCAATATCCCCCCGATAAACCCTCACGTTCCTCGCCACCGTATCCCAGAAATTATCATGGTGGATAAGTCCAAGTGGGCCATTACACCAAAAAATTTCACTCTCAAATTTCAAGCCCTCAAACCCGGGTAGTGCATCCTCTCTCTCGAAATCTGCAAGCTTCGCAGCTTCTTCATCTGCACCTCTCCAGATCCTCGACACGATGGAATTTATAATCGACGAGCGATGAATGAATCTTGTCAACCAAGTCTGCTCCGCGAAACACGAAGGACTTAATGCGGAAAATGCTCGCGTGGCAGACATTTCCGCACCGTTGCGATACTGACCTCGCCCTTTGGCGCCGGCGAATATGGCGGGTCCTTCGCCTGATTGGCGGATAAGCCAGGATACTTTTTTGCCCGCTTTAACACATTCGTATACCATATCTGCAGCGGATTTACCTCCCCCAAGAATGGTTACCGCCGTATATGGGGAATCTGGTGCTAGGGCTGATGTAGATATTTGTCCAAAGTGTTTTTGGTGGACGATGGGGGATTGAAAGTTCGTTTGATTAGGGAATGACGGGATGTAAGGAAGAGAATTCTGACCAGTGGCTATAGCTAGCTTTTTGGTCTTGATCATTCTCTTGTTCTCATTTCCTTTTCCATTCTCGTGGACTTCACTCCAAATCGACCAGATCCCATTAGTCTTCTCAATACCTCCTACTTTGAAGCCAAAGATCACTCGATCCCTCAAACTCTTCTCATTATAAACATGTACATCTACATATTCTTCTAGATACTTCGTCACGTATTTCGCCTCAAAGGTATCATGATACGTCTTTGTATCTGGAGGAAGAACAATAGGTATGTCCGAGAAACCTGTCATGCGAAGACCAGATTCGGAGCGAAATCCTGGGTATTGACGTGCTGTGTATGGAGATTAGGGATTACCGGGCGTGGAATGATAAAAAAGAAGAACGGCCTGGGAAAATATGAAATGATGAGTGAAATCAAGTAAAGAGAGAAAATACCGGAACTCCAGACCCCTCCAATAACATCTTCTTGTTCAAGGATAGCGAGACGATGAGTGGGATAAATGGAGAGGTAGAAGCGAGCTAAAACTATGCCGGAAGGACCTAATTAAGGTGCGATATACCAGTTAATAACTAGCCAAACGCCTTGGAGAAGAGGAGAAAGGTAATGTGCATGAATTCAAATGATTAAAAAGATGATGAAATGGGTTTGGAAACATTTAAATGTTTGAGGTGAAGGGAAGGCCATACCTGCTCCAACAATCACGAGATCATATTCCACCTCATCCTGCATTTTCAGATTCTCATCGACCATCGACCTTGAGTCCTTGATTTCCTTGTATGCTAGTATGAGATTTCAATATCAATAGTTCGCATTCAGAAGAACAAGTCACAACGAGAGCTCTGGAAGTCTGGATAATATATAAAGTGAAGTCTATACCCACACTTTACGGCACAGCACATCACCACCGGGTAATCGTGACATTTTGACTAGTGGTTTAAAGGAGATTTTGGTTGTTCGCTGTTTGTTATATGTTGGTATCCATAGTAAGCCAAATGTTGGCAATGATAAACCCTTCTTTAGTCATCTATTTCTAAATCCCCCACAAAATTCTAACCCTTCCTTACCAATACCAATAATAATGGTACTGTATAACCCAAACGCCTCCCGTCAATCTTTGATAGTTGATTTTATATTCTAAAATCATCCGACTACTCCAATATCATACACTCGTCTTCGTATCTACAATTCCTTCTTTGACGACTCAGCCAACTTCTTCTTTTCCTTAGCAGCCTTTTCTCTTCTCGCAATGACACCTTCAGCTCCAATTCCACCAAATACCAATCCTACACCCATCCACTGTTTACTGCCTAGTGTATGACCAAACCATACTACTGATAAGATCATAGTAAGCATCTTGCGAGTAACAGTTATGGTTACTAGAAGAAGAGATGAGAATGTTGAGAGTGTGTAGACTGTTTTGAATGTTAGTTTTATTTTTTAAGATAAAGTGGCTTTTGATGACATGAAAGGAAGAATAAAGGGGGAAACATACAGATAAAAACTTGTCCCACAGCACCACAAGCTGCAAATCCAAGTACATCTCTCCAAACACTTGGATGTCTCTGCATAAAAGCCAATGCTCCAGCCAATTCTCCTGCTCCACTTGCAAGATCCATACCAAGATACTCTCCCAATCCCGTATGAACAAGATATGGTGACAATAATAAATATGATGTTGTAAGTAAAGTGCTTATAATGTTATTTGCACACATCATTTGTGGACCTTTATAAGGTTGGAAGCTTGTGAAGATCCAATCTTGTGTTGTGTTTGTGAGACCATCAAATAGAAGATTTACTCCTAGGAGCAAAAGTCCCCACGCAGTATTGCGATCTGGATTAAGTGCCGCTTTGCTAGGTTTTCCATGAGATTTAGCACCTGCATGGAGAGTAAAGATACCGACACCGCATGTTACGGCTAAGACGACGACATATTTAGAAATTGGGTAGCGTTTTCCAAAGAGAGTTATGTGAAGAAACATGACTGGTAGTAATTTGCATGATTTGGCAAGAATAAAAGTGATATAATCGATGTGATCGAGAGATGCATAGCCAAAGGGGGAGGCGAGTGAGGAGGTGATGGCCACAACGAGGAGGGGAAAGATAATCCGTTGACTTGGGAAGATGGGTAGCGTTTTGCTATTGGCGGGAGTATCGAATCGTAGGTAAATGTATCCTACTGTGGCAGCGAAAAGGGATTGTACTGTGTTGAGAAAGACTGGGAATTTGAACTTTTCAGGTGCTTTTTCTGATCCGTAAGCAGTTGTAGTGAGTCGTTCTTGAAGAAGTGCCCAAGTAAGACTACACATTCATACTATTAGCATTCTTGTTTCCTCGAATCAAGACCATTAAGAATCCTCTCCGGTGCTATCACTCACAAACTGCCGTAAATACCAGCAACTGCAAATATCAATTGCAATGCGCCAGCTTCTTTTTGTGTCTTCCCTTTCAATAGCGCATCACTTTTAGGTGCACCATTCTGAGTCGGCGCATTCCCATTCAGTTCCTTCTTCGATTTCTTAGCACTTAAGCTTCTCGCCCCGGTCGCATCTGCTTTACTCGTGTATTCGGAAGATGGATTGCGACGCAAAGGCTCAGCTTGTTTTGTTCTCGCCATCTTTTGGCAATCCGTTATTCCAGATGTTGCAGGGGAATCAGAGAGGACAGTTGCAAAATGAAATGAAAGTAAGGGATAAGTCCCGAAGGAATAGTCAAGGCAAATGGGTATCAAGAAGAGTTACGAAGGGAAAGGAAAAGAAAAGAAAGGAGCGTAAAAGAAAGCAAAGTAGAAAAGGTGCAACGGGTAAATCAATAAAGATGTGTATATTTCCAATTGCCAAATGTCCTCAACTATTTTCCCTAGGAAGGTCCGAGGTAGTAGCAACAAGCCACATCTCACATCTAGATCTCCTATGTACAAGCCACACCAAGCCAACCTTGCTCTTTTCATGCTTACCTAATGGATCTGCATTACAGTACCAAAAAAGGCGGTCAGATCTCCTCCCGTTCAAACATGGAATAGTTTCAATCCGCAATTGTTCTAGGTACGTTGGTAGGTAAGTTATGAAAGGGTCCCTACGGATTAGCTGGCATTTTGTTGTTCCGTGGGTCTCTCCCATTCATATTTTCTCTTTGGTGGTTTTTCGTTATTTTGCTTTACATTTGCATTTCTCTTCTTTCCATGGTACGAGAGTAAAAGTGTTGAAACTCGACAAACAAGACACTTAATCTTCAAGAACTAAATCTTTCGAAACGTCATATTTTCACTCTATCCAGAAGTGTAAACAGACATCCCATATACTCACGGAAACCCCACTATTCCATTTCACCTCACGAACCCTTCGATCCTCCCACCAATCCACCCCGCACAATTATCCTCCCAGAGCCTCCTTTTCCCTCAAACCCAAGCCCAATCCAACTCAAAATGTCTAACGCAAAGTCCCCCGAAATCCTCGCCGCCTACGACGATGTCCGCTCCGACAAATCCCCCACAAATTGGCTCTTGATATCCTATGCCAAAGCCATAGGGGATGCTCTGACCCTCACTGCAACTGGAGAGGGCGGTATCGCTGAACTACGTGAGAAATTGGATCCTACCCAAGCCCAATATGCGTATTTACGGGTTGAATATGCCAATGATAGCGAGTCTTCCAGGGTGAAATTCGCTTTTATTACGTGGATTGGAGAACAGACAAAAGTTATGAGGAAGGCAAGAGTTAGCATTGAGAGTGGTGCTGTCAAGGCTGTCTTGAGTCACCATAGTGTGTCGATAGATGCGAGAAGTATGGAGGATGTGGACGAGGCAGAGATCGTCAAGTTGTGTAGGAAGGCTGGAGGTGCAGATTATAATGGTGGTAGAGGATGATATTTTACAAAGAAAAGGGGGTTTGATTGGAAGTTATAATGTTAGAGTAGAGGGTGAATGGGATAGAATGGGAAAGATACCCAGAGCAAACATTGGAATATACTAGTACAGATTCTGGTCACAAATCAAAGAAAGTACAGAGCACACGATGATTCACAGTTGAACATTTAACTGAATTCACGTCGACGATCTTGCATCTATTACATGTATTTTAAATAAATTCATTGTTCGGAATACTCGTATTGTTCTGAATCTACTCAATGGTCTATCTACTACATTCTCAGAACATATCTGGATGTGTTGATGGGCCTATTTCGTAGTATGAGATCAAAGGTCGAGAAGACGTAAGGCTATTTGTGTTGCGGACGTATTGGTGTTCGAAGGAGCGATGTGGAAGACGAGTGGGAAATTTGTGTCGAGTGCATATGATTTAACGGGTAATGTGCATATCATGATTCGTAACTTAAGAGAATTATCAGGTCATAGCCGGCATGAATGACGAGATTAGGTCGATTCTCGTTCGTTCGATTGGGGACTTCGGAAAGCTGAGAGTCGAGATAGGAGGTCGGTATCTCTGGTTGTCGAATGTTGAGGCGAATCATTTGTATCAATAGGGGAATGACATTTGCATAAGGGCAACTCGTATGTGCACCATGCAAATGAGCATAATTTCGTAAAATTCCGTGCCGCAAGAAGTGGAAATGAAAATGGTAAAGGAACTGCTTTTGTTGGGGAAAGGAATATCGGTCCAAGGAAAAATTACTAACGGATCCCAAGGTAGAATCATCGCATCAATATCAGCCTTGCGGCAAGTCAAATCTGGATAGACCTGAGACAAAGCTTGCCTGCCTGAAAAAGAAATTCGATGTGCTCAAATAGAGCTAGTAATTCATTCTTGAGCATTGCCTTGACTGCGGCGTTGCTTCTCGGCCTCGAGGTTCTCATAGAGAAGATAGAGGGCTGAGTCGTTAGCCTTAGCAGTACCCATAATGGTGAACATGCGCTCTCCAGTCTCATCGTGAGGAGACTAATGCATATGTCAGTACAGATATCTTTGTGATGGAGCTTTGAGCTCTCTCGGGATAAAGAAGGCTTACCTTAGCGATGGAGATACGAGCTCCAGAAGTCTTTCTAATCTCACTGATCTTGGAACCAGCCCGACCAATGATACATCCAACCATGTCAGCTGGAATGCTGATGTTTTGTGTTTGGAGTTCTTCTCCGTTCTCATCGTGAGTAGGGGGTCCACGTTGAGCAGCATCGGATTCAGAACGGCGGTTGTATGATCGTGGAGCACTCTCACTGAAATCGGCACCATTTCCAGTGCGCATGACACGTGAGCTACCATACTCACGACCAGTTCCTCCAACATTGCCTTGGCCCATACCACCTGAATTACCGGTTTGAGTGCGAACCATGGGGTTATATAGAACGGTACCGGTTCCTCTAGCCCAGTCATCGACCAAGCACTTGCAGATTTCCCAGATGGCTTTTTGAATGCCTTCAGGGTTACCCTGGACCTCCACGATACGTTCGGTGGATTGTGGGAGCATTTCTTTTTGTGCGACCATGCGAACACCAGAAACGTCTTGGATATGCTTGATTTTGAGTCCTTGTCGGCCGATGATCGTACCCATTTGATTGTGGGAGATCAACAACTTGATTGCTAGATGGTAGAATTAGACTAAGTGTTTATATGGTGGCATAAAACTGTAGCTTACGATGAGTACCGTTGTTAGAAACAACTCCGCCCATTCCCATTTGTGGTGCGCCCTCCAACAGAGCTTTCGCAACAATGGAGTAAGCTCTGGAAATAGAATCGCATCCACCTGAGATGGTTAAGACACGATCATGAACACCTTGAACGACCTTGCTGACACCGGCTTTCACACCAGTCTCATCGCGAAGGTCGGCGACATTCTTGCCACCTTTGCCGATAATGACACCAGCTTCCTTTGAAGAAACAATAGCTCTCAAGGTAAGTTGAGATTCTGCATATTCTTCATCGGTCTTTGGGAGTGGTTCGCCATCGGGGCCAAGACGAGTCTCATCATTGACCTGTAAGCGATCCATGGAATCGTTGAGCTCCTCACCATTAGGAGCATTGTCGCGATTATCCTGAGAAGACATTTTGTATTTGTTTGAGTTTCAACTTCCGGGAGATAGAAAGTTGAGTGAGGTAACGTTGGGTAGATCTGATTGATGGAAGGTTAGTACTTGAGAGATGTAATTGTAAATTAAAGAGCTGATGATCCGCAGAATATGACATATCTCACTATCGCATCGGGATAGTGAATGCGCCAGTGGCATGCAATGTAAAGCCAAAGATTGCGACTTGAGCAAAAGAAAGAGAATTAATATAGAAGCATACCTTGATTGCAGATATCAAGAAAGAGACTGGTTGTGGGAGGGAGTTGTGTGTGAGGAGTTCGAGGTGTGTTATCGGGAAGATAAAGGAGGATGAAGGGTTGTCCGAGTGACCTCGAAGAGGGGAAAAGAAGATGGATTTAGATAGGTAGTGGGGGGGTGACTAAAGGTTGAGAGTTGAGTTGAGGAGTGGGAAGGGACGAAGAGGAGGGAGAGGAAAAAGAGGGAAGGGGAGGAGAAAGTGTGATTGATATTTCTCTTTGAAAGAAATCGATGAATCTTTTTGTTTGTGGAGGGGAGGGGAGAGAGGAAATGGCTGGTGAACCTGGAAAGTGCTTTTGCTTTTTTTTACTGGGAATGATTTTGACGCTAATTATTGGAAGGGCGGGGTTCAAAGTTTGTTCGAGACACACCGACTGTGGTTTTAGAAAGGGTGGGGCATTCGTACTAAGGTAGAGGGGAGTCGGTAGGTAGATCGTCAAAACCATGTCCTGGGATTATCTATCTGCATGAAGTACACATTTCACCAATTCACCAACTTGCTTGTACATAAATAACAATAACAGGAAGGCTGGCGGTATTCTTTGGATATCATTGGTATATGGTGTATCTACTTGTTGTGCCTCAAAATAATCAATAGCAAATCATCCCTCAAGGATTTTCAAGGGTTCGAACTAAGGCAAGATGTTAAGAAGAGCTTGAGCTCAAGCTCCTAACATTCAAGTGCTTTATATAGGTACTTCCGTTTACATGAAAGGAGAACTTCAGAAGGGAGGAATCGCGGATGAAGAAAGGACTTTAATAGTCACCTGTACATGAATCCTCTCTGTGGCAAAACCAATATCAAAGACAGTATGAGTGAATAGGTTGAGAAACTTGATATGTATACTTCTTAATTTCGTTCACCATATGAAATAATCTGATATTGTCTGCCTCCTATGACCATTCCCATATTTACGACGCTGACCCATATTCCGACAGTGTCACTCATTAGTCTTGGGCTTTGCAAATCCTGTTTCGAGGAATTGTCGGGGTCAACTACGAAATGTGATGAGCAGCCAGTTTCAACTGGTGTTACTCAAAATACCTAGACGAATTGGGGGCTTCCTACATTTCGCGTATACCTGCATTGCCAGCTTGCAGTAGTGTTCTGCTATCCGACGTTCGAAAAAGGTCAGGCTCCCAGCTGATGTTAGGAGATCGCCCCATTCGTCCCTTTTCTATCATATTTAATAGATGGCTTGTAACAAGTGATCAAGTCGATGTCGCGTCGTGATTCGTGTATTGATGGATTCGCGTTTACTGATGAATCCGATAATGAAGTGTGTTGTTGTATAGACAAAAGAGATAATGTAGCCATCCTATTCAACCGTGTTTTCATCGATTTGTTTCTCTTTTATTCGTTTCAATGTTCCTAGCTTGAAGGCTTCTTCGGCGTTTGACAATGGAGATTTTGGTATGGGAAGTTGGAAGTCGCCATCATCATCCCCAAACAGAAACGCTGCCTTTTCTCGACCAGCACCGGATGTAGGTCGCTTTCCGGTTCTTAAAAATGGAGAAGAACTCTTTGGAGGTGAGGATTTTATCGTGGGGCTAGATGCTTGATCTGGTTCTAGCATCCAAGAGAACGATGACTGTGCAATCGAAGATCTAGTGGGGATTGGTGCTTCGGGTCGCTCGGTTGTTGCAGATCTCATAGCATCTCTTTCTATGTCGGGTTCGATAATTGTAGACGGCTCGTTTGAGGAGAGGTCAATTGCTTCCCTTGGAGTTTGACTAATGTCAGGCGTTGATATGGATGTCTCGTCTAGGCCATTTGTCTCTTTTGCCAGAGCATTACTTGGGTCGGAATTCATGATGGGAGTCTCTGGTGAAGTTGTCTGCCCTTGATCTGAGATTGGTGGTAATAAAACTTTCGGTATATCTGCTTCTGGTGTAGCAGGCTCATTCCTACCATCGATAATTGGTGAAAGAATTGGAAGTGGCATAGTAGAGTCCTCCAAGTAAACCTTCACGAAATCAACTTTCGCAATAGCCATGTCCATTGCCTCGATGCACTTTTCCCGGTTACTTTCTTTTGACACAGAAACAGATCTCAGATCTTTCATTGCGTGATCTAGCATGACAGCCAATTGCCTATTTCTTTCGTTCATTGTTGCCATGATAGCTGTCGAGGCAGGCATCACACGCCCATCATCAAGAGACCACCGTGAAGCAGCACTAGCTCTCCTAGGAGAATTGTTACTTCTTGGAGTTTGTAGTCCTTGCATATTCTTCTTCACTTCTTCCATTGCATCGCGTACAGCTTGATTGATGCCAAGACGCTCTCCCCTATTGTAAACACCTTTTGCAGCACCTTGAATCAACGCTTCAACACCTCCCTGTTGTTGCAAGAACCGAGCAGGGCTAGTCAATGAAGATCTATTCCGCATGAGTAGCTGTCTAGGGCTGAGACTTTCTTCAATAGGAGCATCAGGTGGTGGCGATGATTTATCTCGATGCGGGAACTTCCCACTATATTTATGAATAATCTTGGATCCCCCACTAGCATTGAAATTATCTCGTAAGAAGATTGCATCATCGACGAAAGTTTGAGGATTTGGAGGACACTCATATTTGAGTAGTAACATCAGGGCCAGCGAGTAGTTCGATTCCATTACTGATTCATAAGTTGTTAGTCATTACGCCAAATTGTGGAAGGTGAATTGCATACGTTGCCAACGAATTCGAAGTAACATTGCTACACATATAAGATCCACAAGATCTAGTTCTGGATCCTCGGCGAAAAGAGTATCCCATACTGATAGTAGATCAACGAAAGGAAACTCGCGCCCGAAGAGCAACCTGATCCAGCGTCTGTATAATCCGTCAACAGATGAACAGTAGCCAAAGTTAACAATTTTTGTCCTTACATCAAGAATATTTGCGGTAGTATCTCAATATCTGTAAGATGTTTGGCCAGTCGCGGATCTACACGAGCCAGGTATACTTCATGAATTCGCTTACTCCTTTCAACAATTGGAGATGCGCCATTTTGAGGGGTTCCGCCAACAATTTGAGGTGTTTTTTGACCGGGGTCACCTAATTCATAAAATGACTTTGCTGATCTCATGACCAAAGACAAGAGAGTGAAGGCATCATGCTCGATGAATTTACGATTCAAACACTGCTTCATAATCGAATCTGATGGATCTGTTCCTGATTCACTCGTGTCACTATTGATGTCTCGAGGGTCAATAGAATCTTGCTCCACTACCCATAGAATTGGAGCCAGTATCTCATGCATGCCCTGACGATAACCTACATCTTGGTTGATTTTGCAAAAGATAAACAGCACATCCAGCATGAATCTTTGAATGTCGGCACGACGGAAGTATGGTTCTTCTGGCATGCATCTCTCGATATCCTGAAATATTTCGGCACGAATTTCTTCATCTTTCCGAAGGGTATTCCATGGTGACTCAAAGTGTCTCAGTATATTTGGACAAAATTCCCAGAATACATAAACCCGAAAGTAAAAGAACTCACGTGTTTATCGTCGTCCAGAGGATCTAATGAAGATCCTAGATCATTTGGATGTTCGATGAATCTCAAGAAATGTTCTCTTAAAGAGGTATAAGCACTTCGTGAATCCTCAAGTCCTCGTGCCCAACCCGTGATCTCTGTGTTTTGAAACAATAAAAATGTCTATAAAAATGTTACTCAAGAGTACGCCAAGATGAAACTTAGAACTTGCCTTCCAACAGATAGATCTTAAACCTCCGTTACAAGGACTGTTTTCTCCAACGATCCTCACGGATTTCTTGAGTTCGGTCAAGCTAGATGCGGACTTTATCGTCACCTGCCATCTCTTTCTTTTCTCACTCTTGTATTAGAACAATAACGAGCAGAGAGAGGAAGAAGCTTTTGAATTTTCTAAAAATTCTTACCTAGAATCTTCCAAAGACCGCATTATCACGAGCAAATGTGATGTCCGAACAAGGGAGGTTTGTGACGACACTCCTATCTCTCGGACTATTTAAATCATGTAGTGGAGTGGAGTGGGGGGCAAGGCTAAGATTTCCTTTTTGCTCTTAAACCAAGTTTTGTTTAGCGTCAGTTTGAAGCAGCATTAACCAATCAAATAGAATCATATTGATCAGCCTTGTTGTCAGCCTTCCGTCGCATCTAAATGGAACACCGCACTAGCAACATTAGGTACCTCAATATTATGTTTCGTACTCTTCACCCAATCATCGTCATCTCATGAACTCCAACCGTTGCAGTCTCCAATTGGTATTCATTTTCCTGAGACGAAGTATCCACATACTTTGAGATGAAGCTCACATAAGAATAGACTTTAAATATAGTAAGTCCTGCTTTTCATCCATGTGGAGTTTGTGTGGATAAAGAGATATAAAATCTCCAATGTCTCGTTCTGGCCCGGATCAGTTGTCACAAGAATTGCGGATTCGATCATACCTCGACATCAATATCTATCGATCCTCGATATACAAATTTTGAGCAGACGAGCTGTACCAACCCATACATCTTTGGAAATACTGATACTCATGAAGCCGATGAAGCAATAGCAGCTCACAATTTACGAGCAATTGTCCCATTCCAATCAATTGTCCCATCAACAGCCATGTCTTCCGATCTTCTCGAGTTCGATACATTTTACAAATCACCTCAAGATACTCAACCAAAACCTAGCCAGAGTTTTTCGTTTTTTGATGGTGCCACCTCTAGTAGCCGGTCAGGCCAGGCGCATGCAAACCAGGCTCCGGCGCAAACTATAAAGCAAAATGATGACATTTGGGGGGATCTGAGTAGCTTCACGAGTCCAATGACTCCAGCACAAAGTGGAGCTCCTCAAGACGATCTATGGGGTTCGTTTGGCATAACTGCTACTCCCCCGAACCCAACTATTACTGCACCAAAATCTAATTATCAAGGGGTCAATATATTCAAAAATGATAATGCTCCGCCAAACCCGGGAATAGTGCGCAGATCAACCCTTGATCTTTTTGACAATAATGTTCATGAAATGCCAGAGCCTTCGTCTACCTCGAACACCCATATGAGCTATTCCTATCCTCGACCAACATTGCCACCATCTAAGGGTTCGTCAGGCGGGGAAATTCTTTTTGACGCCGACGAGGAAGAGGGTGAAGATGATGATTTTGGGGATTTTGAGAGCGTCACTCCTCCTGCATCACAACTACCTCCACCTTCAGAACCTCTCGATGACTTTTTTGGCTCAATGAGTATTAAGGAACAACCATTAAAAAAGCCTCCTAACCTTAACACCACGTCGCCGACTCTCAAAACCCCATTACCATACCCACAAGCACCCAAATCACCCTCTTTTCAGCAGCGGAATCCGTTTCCCAAGGTGGGCCTTGCTACCCAACCAATCAAACAAGTCGCCAAAATGAAGATCGAAGATAAACCCAAATCAGCTTCTCCTTTGACAGCTTGGCCATCATATGACGAGAAACCTCCCAAAGCAGCACCCTACGTTGATTCGCCTGCCATACCATCTATTGTTGAAGACATAGACGATGATTGGGGTGACTTTTCTGATCTTCCAGCCGAATCTCCAGCAATACCTAGCTCAAATTCAACATCTGGTATAGCAGCCGATGCTTGGGCCTGGAATGCCGTCGATAAAGTCGCCGAGCCCACCCCAGTGGAACCCAATCTTCCACCTCCCACCAACATCCCCCCTCCCTCGATTCTCTTGATGCTTTTCCCCCAGCTCTTCGACCTTCCCCAATCATCTCTCTTCAAAGCCGTAGCAAACCAACCATTCTCTCTCAAGAATCGCATCATATCCGATCCTTCCACCATCAATTTTCTTCGCGCCTACCTTCTTATTGCCACTGTTGCAGCCCATATCATCGCTGGTCGCAAATTACGCTGGAAACGTGATACTCATCTCTCACAGGGTATGAGCATTGGGCCTGCTGGCGGAAAAGGCGGCATGAAATTGACCGGTGTCGATAAAGCAGAAGTCGCACGTGAAGACCGTGAAGCAGAAGAAACAATCCGTGTATGGAAAGAACAATTAGGGAGACTTAGATCAGCTGTAGCTGTAGCTAATACAAGTCTTAAAGATGTATCGAAACATTTGGCGATCCCAGAAATTGGAGATTCGATGCATGTAAAGAGTCAGGAAGGGGGGCTAACGGCACCGAAAGCGTGCGTGATATGTGGATTGAAGAGAGAAGAAAGAGTTTTGAAAGTAGATGTCAAAGTTGAGGATAGTTTTGGAGAATGGTGGATTGAGCATTGGGGACACAGATTGTGTAGAAATTTTTGGCAGGAACATGAGGGGAAGTTGAAATTAAGATAAGAGGGATGCTTTAGGTACCTATATGTACTTGATTGAGTATTCATATACACCACTTTGATTCATGTTTTTAATTTCACAGATTTACAATAATTTATTGGTACTAAAAAACTTAATTCATATCGCTGGAAACTTTAGGGTTTAAAAAATCAAAATGTCATATATTATTACCTGAACTTACCTGCCATTACCTTACCGTCCTATCTTATCCTAAACATTCCATCACATACCCAGTGAATCAACTATAATAACCAACCTACCTACTCATCTCACCCTATCCATCTACCTACCTCATCTACTCCCTCGCCGCACACAAAACCCTCACTCTCTCCGCAGCCATCGCAGCCTTAGCCTTGCACCCAGAACACCATTCCGGCAGCATCTCCTCCGTCTGAATACTCTTCAGACAGGAAATCGGAAGGGAAACAGAAAGGGAAAGTGGAAGCGGGAGAGAAGCGGATTTAGTGGCCATCCAGCAGGGTTGCGGATAGCCGTGTGAGGTATGCGAGCAGGCGTAGTGGACTGTGGTGTAGGTGCACATCTTTTGGGTGGGGGTTTTGGTTGGAAGATGGGGGGGGGGGGAAGTTAGTGAATAGTAAGGGGGAAAGTTGGGGGTGGAAGGGGGGTGCTTGGTTGAGTATATCGAATTTTGAGTTTTGAGTTTTGAGTTTTAAGTCTTGAGTTTCGATTTTCGATTTTCCAATGGTGTGTTATGTTATATATAAAACGATGATTGAATTATTTGAAAACTGTGTATAGGTGCGATGTTGAGGTGATACTTGATACTCGATACTTGATACTTGAAACTCGATACTTGACTTGATACTTGGAAATGGAAATGGAAATGAAATAGATGATAGAAGGGGAGGGAAACGAGATTGATATAGGAAATGGGAACAAAGATATTGTTCTTCTTGTTTGGGTAGACAAAGGGACAAAGGGATAAAGGGGGATGGATATGAATATAAAGAGCTGTGGGGTGTAGAATAATGAAATAGAGAGAGGAGGGGGGGGAGAAAGAGGAACAAGGAGAGAGTGTGTATCTCTGGACAAAGAGGGTTGGGCTGAATAGATAGATGATTGAGATGAGTTCTTTTTGCATATTTGGCATTTTTTCTGTGCATCCTGTGAGTTTGTTTTGGTGGTTGGGATGGATGTGAAAGGGGGGGCGGATTGGATAGATTAAGAGAATTGAGTAAACTATGTATATGATGAGCTGAATTCTGGGTGGTACGTTGAACGATCAGGATCTCTTGTAGGTTCGCTACATGCTTGTTGCAAGTCAAACAAGTGAGTCGTGATCGATTGTCAAGTCAAGTAGTGAATGGTATATGTTGAGCTATAGTTCAGACTATCATCTTTCCGTAGCTCGAGTGTGGAAATGTAGTTTATATCTACTAACAAGGTCACTTACCTTCTTTTTTGCAGACATTGTATAAATGAAATGACTTTCAACAAATCTCAAGTAAAAACCACAGAAAGCATACAAATATACACATTCAATACTCCATTGGCATATTCCAAAGTAAAAGTTGTATTTGATCGACAGACCACAGGTTGAATTGAGTCGTATCCAAGCTAAGTATCCATAAAACAATATTCAATGAAAGGAGAAGAAAAGTCCCTAGCATCCTTCAGAGGCCCAAGATGAAGGAAAAATGTGTAACGCAACGCCTAATATACACCTCTACACCTCTACACCTCTACACCTCTACACCTCTACACCTCTACACCTCTACACCTCTACACCTCTACACCTCTACACCTCTACACCTCTACACCTCTACACCTCTACACCTCTACACCTCTACACCTCTACACCTCTACACCTCTACACCTCTACACCTCTACACCTCTACACCTCTACACCTCTACTATTCTCCAACCACTCAATATCTACCAAAACCAAGTTTTCTTTTGCTTTCTAAACTCTGTAGCTTTCTTGTTCGCTTGTCTCTCTTCCTCTTCCTGTTCTTTTCTTTCGTTTATGATTTTCAATGCTTCTTCACCTTTTGGAGCGGTAGTCAAATTCTCGTATCCATCTTCTGTTATCAAAAGATCGTCTTCGATGCGTACACCTCCAACTGGATAGTATTTCTGTAGGAGATCTTTGTTGATGTATTTTGCATATTTGGGAGATTTGAGGTAAACTTCTTCAAGGGCGTAACGGGAGAAATAGCTTGGAGATGCATCGTCAGAGAAGAAAATCAAGCAGTCTTGGATAAACTTACATTCCAGGTTCAACTGTGACTACCATATCCTTTTCAAGGATCGATCCACCATCTGAAGTGACTCCAGTGTTGGAAAGGATTTGGAAGTAGGCATCAGTCCAATCGGCGGGTCTTTTGCTGAAACCATACAGACGATTTGTGATGCGACTTCCACCAGGTCCGACATCATGAACTTCCAGACCAACGTAATGACCCAACTAAATGATCAGTCAGATTGGGATATTATGAATGGAGTAAATAAGTGCTTACACCATGAGGGAAAAATGCTACCGAAACACCGGCCATAAAAAGTTCATCAAATGTTCCACCTTCCACAAGTCCCAAATCCATGAGACCTTTGAGCGCAACTTTGTGAGCATGGATATGAATATCTCGATAATTAGCACCTGGCTTAAGCAATTCGATACACTCATCTTGCATCTTAGCCACAATGTCATAAATAGCTTGAGCTTCCTCAGTATACTCTCCAGAGATTGGAACTGTTCGAGTCACATCAGATGCGTAGCAATCCCATTCACATCCCGCATCAAAACACAGAAGTTGTCTGTCTTTTAGAGGTTCATTGTTGGCCATATAGTGAAGAGTACTTGCATTTTCTCCAGAACCAGCAATTACTCCATATGCTTGAGTTTTCGCCTGTTTGGCAATACATGTTGCTGTAAAAATGGCTTCAATTTCTGCCTCATTAGACAAATGACGAAGACCACGGAGAACATTGATATGTCCTTGTGCTGTGATGGCACTTGCCTTCCGGATCATCCTAAGCTCATACGGAGTCTTAATAGCTCTAGCTGTATTCATAGCCTCCTCCAACCTGGAGCTATCGAATGGAGATTCGCTGATGATAGAATGACATCCATTTTTGCGAGTAATCTTAAATTCGATATTTTTTGGCGCTTGATAATCATGTAAAATATGAATCTTTCCAGGTTCGGTATGTGCATACCAAGTGAGATATGAATCAAGATGAGTCAATGTTTCGACATGGTCAAAATCATACTTGGCCATTATCTCTTTGATTGTTGGACGAGCTCCATTATAAATGACGGATGAGCCGGAATTTGGTGGTGGAATCCAAAGCCATAGTTGATCGCGATGGATGTTATAAGTGACGATACAATCAGGGAGATTTACTCCCGTAATATAATAGAAGTAACGACGTTGTCGGAAAGCAGGTGGCATATCAGAGTCTTCATAATTGAAACTTGGAAGACCGGGAAGATAGATGAGACCTTCACCGACATCAAGATGCTTTCTGACATTCCGTGCATGAAGTTTTGCTAATGTGACTTGTCAGTACAGGTCTTGGGTTTATTCATAATAGGAAAGTCATGATTAGAGTCGAATTGTTGAATTATTCGTGTTGAACCAATCATCAGACTTGGCAGCTGTCCCATGAGGATCACACCCCCTTCCTCTGGGGAAGCTCTAGATAAGCCCATGAATGGATGGATAGCTAACCTGGATACTTTTCAATTGGCTTGGGCTTATATTCTATTGATCTAATCAACTGTCAGTATATTTCCTTGTAGTATAAGGGCTAAGATTTATTCACAAAGCATCGAATTCGTCCACCGCCTTACACGCCCAACTTCCACTTGAAGATGGTCTAACTTCTTGAACTTTGTCCTGAGCAGTAAAGGAGCTCATGATAGTTTGGAGATCCATCTTCAATCAATACGATGCAGATACCAATTAAAATAATTATCGTTGATGTGAGGTTGTTGTTCTGAAGGATCTCATGTCTTGGTGATTGTTGGTAGTACTGATTCAGATGGGCCATGGCTATCTCGGCTTAAGTTCGGGATAAAGGGGTTGTGTTGTAAATACCTAAGTAGGCAATCTCCCCATTGACATCTTCAGACGATACTCATCGTCGAATCCTTTCAATGAAAGCCTTGGGCTGTGCTTGATACAATATGATAATGTTACACTCATCATCTTCTACAACCAGTCAATATACATTCCATCCATCCAAGTCTAAATCATTGGATATGGGTTTCTCATAACCCCGCCTGAAGTCACACACCCTTGTAGATGCATCGAATCCCAAATATTGTCCTTCTCCAACCTTCTACCTCCAGCCTCGCCCACTCCCCCAAAAAGTTCATCACAAACCATCAACTTCTGTTTCTAAGATAGGTACAAAGCTCCTTTTCAATGTTGAGTTCTTTCACAAACGTATACGGCTCCTTTCCCAACATCCAAGCTCGTATAAATAATCTAGCGGGTACTCAAGCAAGCGTCGTGGGAATGGCAGGCTCTGGAGCCCGATTTCAGAGTCTGAGTGATTTTGAAAAAGAGCAGGATGAATTGCAAGCTCGGTAAGTTCTGGATTGGATACAGTCAAGTCTCATAACATCATCACCGCAATCTTTTGGTGCTGTTGTATGATGTTATTTGTGAGTTTTTAATGACGAGGCTTTTAGGATTGACCAAGATAATCTCAACGCACAACCCACAAGATCTCGTACTGGCTTACCAGCCGCCAGCATACCTAGGAATGTGCCAGATGTCAGTGGTATCCTACTTGAAGAGCAAGCGTTGCAAGAAATGGGCAGCATAAACTGGGTCGGAAAACTACTGGGTAAGTCCTCTTTCACGATCACGAGACTTCTTCATCTATACATCGATACTAACAATTTCCAGAGTACCATCAAGCCAAAGCCATCAACCCACTACCAGAGTATACAGAGCATCAGGTCTCCGAACAGCGATTCCGCTGTTCCGTCACCATCAAACAAAAGACCGAGCCCATCACCACCTTAGCATCCTTCAGCAACAAAAAAAATGCCAAAAAATTCATCTCCAAACTCGCCGTCGATTGGCTTATATCACAGAACCTCATGCCTTCTACTGGCGACGTCAAATTTTCCAAGACACCAATTGCAACACCAATTCCAGATGCTCGCGAGAGAAGCACCTCTCCAACACCCTATCCCAGTCTCGTCCCCGGACTCTGCATCGCCCTTGGTTTCAACCCTCCCGCCTACAGACTCACGCGCATGTCAGAAGGCACCTCATTTTACGAAATCTATGCAGATTTCGGATCTGATCCCCGAATCGACGGCCCTGTAGGAAAACTCACAAACATCTACGGCAGGAATAGAGCTAAAGAAGCCTGCGCAAAAGAAGTTTTTATGTTCTTGAAGGCGATTGAAAGATCGAGGGAAGCAGGTATTGTAGCTCAGCAGGGAGAGGAGAGCAGGAGTGTGGAGGAGCCCCAACCTCAGCAGGAGGACTCGGGTTCGAATGCGAATGATCAGTATAGTGTCGTTTCTGGCATTTAAAGAATGGTTAAGTATGCTGTCGAATCATGGATTGTAATGGAATGGAACACTGGGACAACCAACTTAACGAATTTCCTAGGATAGATTTGGATTATATGTCATGTTATGTTGTGGGATACTACCTACCTAGTACAAACTTATTCGGATAGAATATAAGTTTCGAAATCTCAATTCGTTTTCACTTGCTCTTCTTTTCATGTTTCTTCTTGTCTATTCTCTTCCCCTTTCTTACCTTGCCCACCACTTCCTTCCTTCCTATGTTATTTGTTTTCACTGCACTCCCTCACCTCTCTCATCAGCATCACCACTTACTTACATGCAATCTCTCCCTCCTACCCGCAACCGCAACTTCGCATCCAAAAGCTAACGAAATGATCAAAATAAAATCAAAATCCAGCCATCAAGAATATCACTCAGATTCTTCTACTCTTCCACCCTCCAATCCGTCAATCCTTCAATCAATAAACAAACAAGTAGGTATTAACTCAGCTCCTTGAATACAAAAGCTAGTCCCAGCCGATTCATTAGGGATATTAGCCCAGGGGCCGCAGGAGATTTATACTACATCTCATTATATTATATCCCATTATATTATATCCTATTATATCTCATTATATTCTATTATATCACATTATATTATATTATCATATTATATCATATCCCATTCTATTATATCACATTATATCGTATCCCATTATATCATATCTCATTATATTACAATCCACACTATCATAATACATCCATCATATTACATCCCATCATATCCAATCCCATCCCATCCATCCCATTCCATCATATCCCATTCCATCATATCCCATTCCATCATATCCCATTCTATTATATCCCATCATATCCAATCCCATCCCATCCCATCATATCCCAATCCATTATATCCAATCCCATTCCATCAATCTCAATCTCAATCTCACTCTCACTCATCTCAATCCCTAACATTAATACTAACTTAACACCAACAAACACATCATAAAAATACAAACACATCTTCTCCCAGCGCCCATCTCCCATCTCCCATCGCCCATCTCCCATCTCCCATCGCCCATCTCCTATCGCCCATCGCCTATCTCCCATCTCTATCTCCATTTCCATCTCCATCTCCTCCTCCTCTCTCCTCCGATCCTCTGTCTCCCTAAAACTAAAAACAATCTACAACTATAACTAAATAAAACTACAAATACAAACACAAATATAAATATAAATATAAATATACATCTCGTTATTATTCATTTTATTACATTTCTTTCTATACACACTATATTATACCATACCATATCAAAAACTCAATCTCCATCTCTATTTCCATCTCCATCTCTATTTCCATCTCCATCTCCACCTCCACCTTCATCCTCATTACACACATCTATATAAACACTCTCATCACATCACATCATTCTAATTCAAAATCTTTTAATTTCTATACAAGAGTCTGCAACCATTAACCCTTAACGCTCTCTCATTAATCTTACAAAGTAGATTCACTTATATCCAAATCCCAGCTACATTCTGTATTTATACATATGACAGAGGGGACATTGTGCAAGCTTAGACTAATAGTGTTTATACTCAAAAGAACCGCCAATAGAATAAACAATAATGCACAATATAATCACACAATAAAAGTAAAGAATGTATAGCCAGTAAATATCTCTCTTGGGTATATAATTTTATTCGTAGCCATCCACCCCACTGCGTCAGGCAATTGATACAAAAGGAAGGTTTCCCCCCTTGATTTATTCGCCTCATCATATTTCCTTCATGGTTCCAAGTCTCAACTAAGTGAGTACCCTATCCTTCCACTCCATCTCTTCCATACCATCCCCCAACGCCCTTTGAGAACAAAGGGACAATTCATTAAAATCTTACAGCGAGGCGGTAACGATGACCTGCCTACGTATCCAACGCCACGAACTTATGCAAACGCCCTTCCATCTTCGTCCATCATGAATAAAAAGAACCCGGCGTATTGCTTATAAATTTGAGAAATGAGAAATGAAAGAAAAATAAGAAACGCCGAATGATAATCCAAAATTTGGCATACAACTAAATGTGTGCTTATAATGCTTGCGAAATTTGGTATAGATAAAACATCGGTCAAAGACATTATGGTGATATTCTTTAGTAGGGTGGATTCTATGTGCTCTGCAAATGCTCAAAGAAAATCGTCGATAGATCGTGTAATAGTAGCTTCTCCTGTTATAGGTGGACTCCTAGGATCTTGTGCGGGAGGGAGATTTGGATGAATTGCAACAGTTGGAGGGAAGAATGTTGTTCGCTGAAAATCGAATCCACGTGGAGAAAAGAGGCTGGGTGTTCCACTAGAGGACGATTCTTGTGGAATACCACGTGAGAAAGCGTGTTCGAGGGGATTGCGGGTCATCTCAGTTATACGCGGCGACATTATATCAGATTGCATGTCATCATCCTGTGGTCGAGGAGACATCGTATCAAGCTGCCATTTGTCTTCTTGTGATGGTAATCGATCGACTCTGGGACTATCTTCGAATTTGGTGAAAGGTTCGATGCGTGGAATGTCACCGAATCCGAAGTCAAAACGGCCCAGACGATCAATTGCCGAATTACAAATAGAATTTGTCTCTTCTTTGATCTCGGACTCCTTGATTGAGGCGATCTTCGTGGCCAAAGGCTCTCTGACAACCGGATCTCTAGGCGGCGAAACATGAGACGAGTTTGCTCTGTTACGGCCCGGGGAAGATGCGGTGTCGAGATCATTAGCAGAGAGCGATTGTCTGTGTCGAGTCAGACTTTTATTCCTGATGACTGTGTCTTTATTTTGAGCTGCCTGTTTCTCCAACTTCTTTCTCTCGATAACCTTTTTGAAGTCGTTCAAAGAGAAGAGAAGAGACATGTTAGGATTGACCCAGCGTGACTTCGATTGTGCCAAGTTGTACGCTTCGTTTGCTGATAAATCTTGGTTGATGTACATTCCATATGCAATGATTAAGGTTGCCGATCGGCTAGCACCTTGCTGGCAATGCACCAGAACCCTTTTGCCCTCCTTGGCTCTTGATTCTATAGTTTGGCACAAATCCCACAATTCATCTTGCACATCTGTGTTATGGTCCCAAGGAATATGGATATACTCGGGAATCTTCATTTCCGAGGTGTTGGGTCGTGGTGTAGATGGAGATGACTCCGCAGAACTCGATTCGGAACCAGCCGGTTGAGTCTCGTAAGCAGTTTGAAAAGAGGAAATGGTTCCAGCTGTACCGGGTATCTCGGCATATGGATCCACAGAGTTGTGCCTGGACGCGGCAGTCATATAGCTAACTCTCTTCTGCTTCTCTTCTTTCTCCTTCTCCATTTCCTCCAATTTTGCCTCGAATGGATTTTTAACTTCCCTCGCGACATTGATCACAACATCAAATTCTGCAGCTTCCTCCATCTTAGGCTCTGAGTATAGATGAATGGTTGGTTCATGCATGAGGATTGGACCGTCGGGATATGAGGGAGACTTGCAATCCTCGCCAGTGGGTGGCCTGTCAAATGAATCCCCGCCAATAGACATCCCTGGTGCTCGAGTTGCCATCTGAACTCCTGTTGGTGAGGGTGCATCATCTTCATTAATGGTGAATGTATCTCTCGGGGCACCAGATTCTTTTAATCTCGAACCTCCAAATCCTCTAGAAGGGTCACCCAATGTCATTCCACCACTAGGACCAAAGCCTGGTGTTGTCATTGAAAGCATTTGCGGCGACGAGACAGAATGTTTCAGACCTCTTCGTTGCAACATTGACGATGTTCCTTGTCCCATAGGCTCCAAAGTGAGGTTGGCGGTTCCAGTATTTAAACTTAATATACTTGGCTTTTTCCTAGCCTTCAGTGGTGGCGGTTTGATAAACGAAGGGGAAGCCGGTTCCGAGGTGAATTCATCAATGCTTGGTCGAAGATTGAGAGCCAGACTTTTGGGATTCTTCTTCCTTGGCGAAGGTGAAGTCATAGGTCGTTCAATAGTTATTGGCGGCGGCCTGGCATCTACTTCGCCCATCTTTAAATTTTGAAAAGAATCTAGACCAAACGAAGACCCAGTGAATGAAGATAATGGGACGAGTGTGATTGGCGATTCAGGTGAAGAACTTGGTGATGGATCTGAAAGTGAAGATGAATCTACCGTAGATACTGTCGTGGTGGGTGAAGAGTCCGTCGAATCGGATGCTTGTGTTGAAGTACTTTCCCGATGTTGATGGGAATGTATCTGAAGTAAGTTGCTATCGGTCTTGACTTCTGAGGGTTGATGTAATTGTTGATTGTTATACGGACTAGCCGATAGTTTGGTGTGAGTGCCGTCTAACGATGAACCATCCATTATGTTCGAATCCATACCATACACTGACATAAATGAAGGTATATGATTCTCGTACATTCGGGGACCAGCTGCTGATGGCATCTTCCGTCTCTCAGAAAGATTGCGACGTTTGACTACTGGAGCCTGCGCCAATGATTCGTGTGTGCTCCGGACTAATTGTATACCCCAATATGTTTTAGATAGTCCACTCAAGTCGGGCGAGGGTGGTGAAGGTGCAATCGCCGTAAAAGACCTTTTCAAAGTTGCATTGTTAGCAATTGCAATGCTTGTTGGACCAGCCATCATCGCTTGTCAAAGAGCACAATAATAAATACAAACGAGATTCTTTTGTTGTTTGTGTAATAATGAGACTAGAACCAATGAAGGCAACAATGAGAAAAGGAAGCCAGCTTAAAAGAATTAAACAAAAAGAAGGTTATGGAATTCACTCACTCACTTGAAGTTATGAAGCCCTTGAAACGGGTTCCCAATTGAATGACAAACTTCCAGGAAAGGGTCGACAACAATAACCAACGTCGAATGCGCCTTGATCTTTTATTTTGCGATTGAATATGAAATGGCGCAAGAAGTGATGGTTCAGGCAAAGTGATTGGAATGCATACAGCGAAGGGTCGTAAGAGATGAGTTTGAGAACAAAGTAATAATTGCCTCGAGGGGAAACCTAATCTTTCGCCTTACCTGGGTATTGCACGCGAGACGCCGCAGTTATTATTATTCGAAGTTGCGTGTATGTGCGTGTGTGTGTACCTGAAAGAATAATAGGACAGGTAGGTTTCAATGTATGACCGGGTCAAATTATGAACGACCGATTATAACAGGATATAATGTTATTGTTGGAAAAATGTCAAACTTTCCAAATTGAACCTTTTTTGGGGGGGGAAACAAGATTGAAGGATTGAGAGTTTCGAGAAACGAGGATGTCTCGACAATGTTGGTGGTGGTGGTGGTGGTAGTGGACAGGGTTGCTGAGCACTAGAATGCTACTAGGTATAGTAAAGGTAGGTAGGTTTGAAAACTAATAAGTCAGCGCACCGTTCTCAGCGAATAAGGGTAAGAAAGTGAAATGCAGGGGGGTTAAAAATAGACAGGGCGGGTAAATGTGAGCCAATAAAATAATAAAGTAATACAAAGCCAAAGCCCAAGTAAAAAAGATCCCTTACTATATGTATGTATGTGTATGTGTGTGTGTGTGTATGTGTGTATGTGTGTGTATGTATGTATGTATGTGTGTATATGTATGTGTGCGTGAGTTTTCTCTCTCTATTGCCTGCAACTATTATAAGAGAGGAGGGTACTTTGCAATAAAGGCGGGTGTACCCAAGCCAAGCCTTCCGTCTGCACGAAAGCCGTCGAGGATGAATGAAGGATAAATTCGAGATTGGATTGATTTGATTTGATTTGATGAGATGAGATGAGATGGGCGTTGTAAAGTGTGTAACTTTGAAGATAATGTAAATTGCAGATATATATATATATATATATCCTTTGCAAAGTATATCTTCTTTTATTGATCGAATCAAGTTGAGCAGGTGGGTGGATGAGTGAGTGAGTGAGTACAGAAATACCTGTGGAATATCGTTTCAAGAAATTGTAGAAACTTCCCTTGCGCTCCCAAATTACTCGTGGATAGGAAGAATAGATAGACAGATGGACAAATGGCAGAGAGATAAGAATTAATTGATCTGATCAAGAACAGGTGAAAGGAACAGAGTGTGTTTGTTGATTTCCGTGGGGTATCTCAAATAGGGCTGGTATCTCGTCTGGGGTGCCTGAAGGGGAAGCTGAGAAACTGTAGGAATAGAATCGTTCCAAGCTCGAGATGAGAGTAATCGATTTATTTTCTTATCCTCGAGATGGGAAGTTTCCTTTCTTTTTGCGCCTGGTGAAGATGCGTACGGTTGTTATGAATCGATGCTCAACCTTTCGACAGTAATATCAAATAGAATGTCTGATGTTGAGAATCCCGCACAAGTTCAACGTCAATGTCAATGTTAATGTCAATTTCGACTCAAGCGAAATCGAAGTCGTCCTCTTTAAACTCTGATGCGCCAAATGTATTGTCTGCGCCTCCACGGATTGATTGATTGATTGATTGATCGGATGATGGATTGAACAGGCCTGCAAGCTGGTGGTAGCTAGGTAGCTGGGTCTATGTGTGCGTGTTTTGGGTGTCGGTCGAGATTCGAGAACAAAGGAATGGCCGCGGCTTTTCGGTCGCAAAGAGAATTCGATCGAGTCCTCGAAAAAAAAATCAAAAGGAAAGATATATAAAAATGATGAGAAGCGGAGAAGGATGATGTCAGACAATGAAAATCATAATGTTAAAATGATGAAAAGTAGAGAGGGAGAAAGAGAGAGAGAGAAAGAAAGAGAAAAGGTAGTAGAGAAGAAGATATACTGGTCGAATGAGATGATATAAAAGTATGGAATTTTGGGGCAGGGCGTGTAAGAACAGAACACAGTTAATGGGTATAAGAGAAGAAAGGGTTGGTTGAGAGAAACATAAAATTAGAGAAAAATCAGTCACAGAGACAGACAGACAGACAGAGAGAGAGAGGGAGAGAGAGAGAGAGAGAAAGAGGCTTAGAAAGAGAGAAAAAAACCCCAACGCAAATGGAAGCTACAACATTGACAGTTCGGTGCATAGAAAAAACCAGCTGGAACCCGCTTCATCACTTTCCTTCATGGCTCCATGGCTCCATGGCTCCATGGCTCCATGCCTCCATGCCTTGTTGTCCAGTCGAGCCAGTCCAGGCAAATGGGTCAAGTTCAGTCCAAGTGGAATCCTGATTCGATTGCCTCAGGATTTCACACTGCATACCTACCCAGTCGAGCCAGTACTTACCCAGTACCTACCCAGCACTTACTTCCCACGCGTTGCCAAAATAGATTTAACCACTTTTTGTCTCTCCAGTTTAATTGGTCCTAAACATCCATGATGAAGATATGAAACAAACTATGAATATCCGATGCTACGCCAATAGAATTGATGAGAATGAGAAGAAAGCGAAAGAAAGAAAAAATAACGAAAAAAATAAGAAAAATTACGCTTGCCAAAGTAGAATTGATGGATCACGGAAGGGTGGTCAAGGATAATCACGGATCATCATGCTCTCTCATGGATTATCAAGGGTCAATTGCATTTGCTTTGATGCTCTAATAGGTCATATCACCTCCCTTCCCCTCTTCCGAGCTCACATTACTGTCGCATAACCTGGCATGATAGATTGATCAATCCTCGCTCTCTCCGTCTGATCATGAAGACAAGGCAAGGAGGGATCCAAAAAAGAGAGAGAGAGAGAGACCTCGGGAGCTGGAGATACTGGATCGTTGAGGCTCAGTGTGGCTGGGGTAATTTAGTCTTCCTCGGGTAGCTGGAGCTGGAGGTATGCACAGTCGAGACAGTGCACCTACTCCTTGTCTACTTGACTTGTACGTACATTAATTGATTGTCCTGGTTCTGTATGTATTTCCATCATCTCCAAGTCCAAGTCCAAGTCCAAGTCCAAGTCCAAGTCCAAGTCCAAGTCCAAGTCCAAGTCCAAGTCCAAGTCCAAGTCCAAGTCCAAGTCCAAGTCCACGTCCACGTCCACGTCCAAGAACAGTGAAGAGACCGAAGATTCATGACGGAAAGAAGAAAAGGTCAGGGTTTCTCCTCTCGCTCCCGAATCCTATTTCTGGGTCATGTCCAATTTGTCGCCTCCCAGCATTGCGGGGGATGAAATTGATTTTGGGCCATGCTATCCCATATTCATCTCATACCAAAGCATGATCCAGGTCATTGCATTTCAAAACACCCCACATAGGAAATCTCATTACAACGGTTGGTAACGAGTTGCGAAACTACGGGACGACGAGACTGCGAGTACGAACAAAATTCCATAGAACTGTGGTAGCACGGGGTAGCTACTGTGTAGAATTGATGCTGGGAAGGCCATCTCAAGGAACACGAGACGCTTGAGCAAGAACATCGACGAGTACATAAGACTAGTCCGGTATTGAAGTCGATCGAACCGCTCAAAAGTATATCTGCTTCATGATATACTTTCGCTATCGATCCGAGCGAGGCATGAATATTGAGACAGCAACCCCAAAATCACAGAGTACAGACAGACTTTCATCCCCGAGTTCATCTCATCCTTTTTCCCAACTATTGAAGCTTTGTTCATATACAGGTCTTCTTCGTCTTCTTCAGGGGACTACGAAGTCGAAATTCAAAGGGCAAGATAAATATAGACATGGCCACAGAAAAAGAAAGTGGAAGAAGGTGGAGAATCTTCACCGTTATGCTAATGAAATAAATTTCGATTATGTTCAAGGACGACCCTGAAGAAGACTTGTGTGGCAGCTTGTTATGTAAATAGACCAACCATGTTTTGTGCGTAACATGCAAACGTAGGTACTAGGTAGTCTCGAGGTAGTCAAACGTTTTTTAAAACCTCGGTCTTATATTTCATCATGGAAAACGGGAAAACTCAATTCGCATCCTGGGGTTCGATGCAGTCCAAGAAGTCTAAGAAGTCTAAGAAGTCTCACATTATTTTGTTACAGAGAAAGAGACTCAGCCGCGATCTACGTACTTACTATCCACAACTCGAATCGCCTTAAACACAAGTCAATACTGGCTAAGCCGAAGTTGGGACGAACATCTAGCTAGGTAGCTAGTAGCTATCTATCGGGGGGAACTGGGAACTGGGAATGGGAACTGGGAATGGGAACTGCGAACGGCAAACTGCAAACGATCGATTTCACGCGAAACCGGAAGACTGGTGAGAAAAGCATATATCTGATTCTGATGGTCCTTAGACACCCGTTCCATTTGCGAGACGAGATTCAATACCCATTTGGCCAGACCAAATTACGCCCTCCGCATCCAGGTCGCCTCTTTGGGTCAATCCTCATTTTGCCCTCGTGGTTCTGGGACATCAATGGGTCCTTGCCCCTGAATGTACATGCAGTACATCATATTACGGCCCACAACCGCTGCAACAATTTGAGAAATTTTCAGGTATCCCCGACACTTTTTTAATGAGAGATTCTAAATAAAGTTTGGATAATTCATTGGATAGTCAAACGGATCATTGTCCACTCATCAAATATACATAAGAAGTTAGGAACTGACACCAAGTAAAACATAGTGCTTCGTACATCTTTCATATCATTATGTCTTTCCAGTCCAGGTCAATCAATCCATTGAACACCGGCTCAACCCTTCGAACTGCATGAAGAATGCGTTTGGCCGATTTTAAGGTTGAGAGGCTCTCTACAATACGGGAAGAAACTTTATATGATTACCTAGAATAGGTATCCAACACAATCTATATCAACCGGTTGGTTCAAAAATTCCTCCGATCTTCGGCAGTCATTTCTTGACCATTGGTATCCAAGACCAGCTGGTCAGCCATTCAACCATTCAAAGGATCTGACTTGCAGTTGAGGCTGTACGATGCTACAACTTTTCCTTGACACTACCCGAGGCCTTGCAGAACCACGGCTGCGAGTAGGGTTATAGAACTACTGGTCTCGAACCATGACATCTACTTTGTACAATTATACATCTCGTACACAAGATACAAGCTGTTACACGTTCGCGTTTCCTAGCACCTACCTACCTACCTACCTACCTGCCGAGAGTCACAACAATAATGAAAAGCTATTTTTGAAAGTGGACTGCGAGCACCAGCACAGGTACAGGAGCTGAATGATGGTACAGGATGATACAAATTATTTCTCCGCTTGACAGTGGCCACGGCCCGAGCTAGGCCCTGAGGGTTCACACCTGCTCCATGCGAGTGGCGACTTGTCGATTTGTCGTGCTTCCCCTCACCCATATTATTGTCTTAGCCAATGTGAAGATGCAAATAACATGTGCTCTCAACCTGCTTCCGAAAATCGTGGTCATCAGGTTTTGGACAATCGAGATACGTTATCTAATCCCTTCAGTCCGTCAGATACGACACGATACGATACGATGTGATTTGATGTGATCCTTATTATTCATCATCTCAGAATGACCACCTTCTGCATTTCCCATGGTGAAAAGTTCCCCTCACCACATCAAACATAGCGACCCATCAATATGCACTTTTCTCGCGTAGAGCACAATCTATGCAGTGAGAGGTCATGGTGGATAAGTAATTTACTAGTTACATGCGTCAGGTGGAAAGAGAGGGTCAAGCTTCCCAAAGCAAGAGCGTGAGAGGCTCGATCTTCTTCGAATCAAGAGACAGTAGAAGGTGTCGTCGAATGTGTGAGAACATTTCCAATTGTACGTACACCCTCTGCTGCATCTGCATCTGCATGAAGACTAATATGATGCTCCACTTACCAAGGGAGTCGTCATTGCCAGTATCTTAATATGACTTCAGATAAGAACCATGTTTGATGATCAAATATAGGGGCATGTCCTGGGGTAGGTCTACCCATTTCTAGGAAGAAGCTTGAATGTTAATAAATGCTCATCCGTGAGGAAAAGACGAAAGGAGAGAGAGATCTACTCATTGTTTGTAATCATAATAAAAATGATTGCGCAAAAGTCGCTACGAAACGGATGTCAAGGGTTCTGGAAGCCCTAATGCGAGTGCTGAGATGGAAATTACGGTTGATTGCATTTTGACAGGGCCATTTATGCGATGCAGCACCGCCAAAAGCTTCCACTCGATGGATGAGTGATGAGATGGAGTCAAGTAAAATGAATAGGATACCTATGACTGATTGATTGAAACATGGTGAAATCCCGAGAGGAAACGTGAGAAATGTGATGGAAGAACAAGAATTCGTAGATGAAATAAATACCCGTACAAAGAAAGATACACCAAGTATTTAAGTACCTAGTAGATAGATAAGTCGTAGTTACCGTTACAGAACTTGAGAGAGGAAACCAATCACACAGCCGAACTTCTCCTTTAAATAGATGGAGATGTTCTCGTTGTGTATTCTCTCTGCTCGTATTGTCTTTATTCTCTTCATAAGGGATTGGTGGGATGAATTGTATGTGCGTGTGTGTGTGTGTGTGTGTATGTATATATGTATGTATATATATGTACCTATGTATGTACCTATATATGTACAAAGTATCCATACCCAGATACCTATATATACACAATTGTCAAGTAATAAGAGCAATCTCACAGGATACATGAATCCGTTATCAATTCTCCAATTATTCTCATCTATCCAATACAATTCTCATATTTACTTTTCCATTATGGGGCACAGCTCTCCCTCTCATTATTACATATTGATGCTGTGGGTATGGATCAATTGATGCAGCTACTTTTCGCATCGGAGCGAGCATACTGACTGGCTACATACCCTCCCATTTTACCCTTTACCCAGTGGTGCTCAGATCTCCTTGGACGACGGAACCTGACAAGTGTGAACCTAAGTAGACATTTCTCTCACATCATTCTACCTAACCTGGTTATTTGCTTGGATTTTTTTCCTTTTTCTCTTTCACATTTTAACATTGATATTAACATTAACATTAACATTGACATTGACAGTGACAGTGACATTCACACTCACATTCACACTCACACACAAACACACCTTCTCCATACCTCCATTTTTTATTCCTTTTGGGCTCGCTCTCCCCTCTCCGCTCTCCATACCTACCTACCTATCTTTTTTTCCGCTTGGACTTGATATGTTGACCTATTTTTATTCAAGATGTCACAAGTCCCTCAGTCACCAACTACTACCACAAAGTCAAAACCAAGACCTCTGTCATTTCATTCCCATAGAGTCGTTCATAACTCCTCCAAACTCCCAAGAGTACATGATGCGCCCGAGATAGTCACACACATACCAACCGCATCTAAAACCAAACCATATCACCACCGTTCAACATTATCACAACCCTCAGCAGACTCCAGTCTGGCGGCGGTTGGAAATCCTTCGACTTCTGCTTCTACTTCTATTTCTACTTTTGCTCCCAATCCCAATTCCAATATCAATATCAACTCCACTTCCACTTCCACTTCCACTTCCACCCCCAATTCCAACATGAATCCCGCAGCTGGTGGTGCTGAGCAGCTAAGCAACAAAAACAGCAACAATAATAATAGTCATCTAAATCTGAAACTTAAATCTTCTAGTTTTGATTTAAAATTCACGGGAAACCATTCGACTATTGCGACCCCCTTTAGTCCAACAAATCAGAATAATAATAAGAAAGAACCATTTCGTACCCGAATATTGAGTTCATTCACTGGCAGTCCGGTTAGAGCAGCTTCACCTAAATCAGCATCATCGCGTCGAACATTATCTTATCCCACGCCAACGCCAAACAAACCTTCAGCCACGATTAATACTTCCACCAAACTTCAACACGAAATCTCTTCAAGGATTGGCACCTCTGAAAAAAAAGCAAGGAACCTGCTAACGCACGCCAATGGGAAGAATGGAATAACGGCTGAAGTCGCAAAAGAAACTCCTCCGACCATGTTATCCCAAGGCGCATCATACATCTCACAAACAACAAATTGGATTGCGGATCAATCTCATTTGGATCAATCTCCCTCTCCTTCAACTTCCTATGCACCTCAATTATCATTGGAGAATAAACCATCACGTCCTGTAACCTTACCGCCAAGGGGTGTGACAATCAATAAAAGCATGGAACCAGATCTAGCTGAGAGGGAATCCGCATTGAGGAGTTTAGAGGGGCGGAATCCTCGGAGAGATTCACCAGATGAACGAAACTCCGATGAAGCGGATTTATTCTTACAGGTTGCGCAAGAGGAAGACGATTTGAACCGCCAGAGGAACCTTCCAGCCTTGAGTAGATTAGATTCTAAAAAGGTAATTACATTCTTATCTTGTCCTATCTTTGTGCGATTCCAACTTGCGTCGGAATGGTTACCATCATTGGCTTAAGATATCTAACTCATCAATAGTCTCGCATCGGCATGCGCCAATCTCTCCCTGCTCCCAACTTTCGTGCTTCGTATCTTCGTCGTGAACCTGAGCAAGAAACAAACCCTACAATTCGTTACGCAGCGGATGCAGAAAGTTTACTGCGAGATTCAGGGGATCATTCATTCGCAAGGAGAGGGCCTCCTTCAGCGATCTCGACTTCGAACGAGCAAAAGAAGCGATCATTTGCAGCCACATCGCTGTCGACCCCTACAACTCCACGAACGAATAACCGAGAAGCCGATTCCGAGCCACAGCCATATGCTGGACGACGACCATCTATACAGGACCGAACAATCACTGCATACCGACAATCAAACTTGTCTAATTCGTATTCCGTTCCCCGAACCACTGCTTATCATTCTTCTCCACTTGTTGCGCAACCGATGGAGATCAGCGATCAACATGAAACACAGCGTGTAACAGAAGGCACTGCATCGACCGTGTCCACCACTGCACCTTCAACCGTTTGGGACGAATTGGATGATCTAAAATCGCGCATACATAGATTGGAACTGACGGGGAAATTACCTACCACATCTGGTGCAGCAGTCTCGCGAGCCACCCACGAGCGTCCGCCTACTGCGACCACAACAGAAACTACCATGTCAACATCACCTAAACGTGGACGAGGCAATAGCATATCACCTACTGAAGCCCCTAATGTTGATATGTCTAAAGCCGAAAACCATCCTCTCCTACGGTCTGCATTGATGAATTCCAAGCCGTTACTGGATCCCGAAATTTACAAGTCTTTGGAGGCTTCAGCAAATGATGCCTTGGCAATATCTGCCATGATGGGAACTTCTGGTCAACCTGGGCCTATATCGAGTTCCCAATCAGTCATTGGTGGAGCGCAACCTAACATTTCTGATCGACAAGTTCGTCGCAAAGCAGACAGTTTGTGTCGCAGCTTAACGGAGCTTTGTCTTTCATTGTCGGAAAGAAGATCAAACGATCCCGATACTACACTGACACAGATCCGACAAAATAGTCATGGTCAAGATACTGAAGTTCGACAGAGTATCGAGCCGGTCAGTCCAAGGCTACCTCCTTCTGGTGACGTAGCAAGGTTAAAAGCAAGCCCACGATCTTATAGTCGTCTTGAAGCTCGACGAAGCAGCCTTCTCGCAACGACTGCCTTGCCAACCTTGAGATATCCACCACCTGAGAATACAACACCACAAAGTTTAGCTGCAGGACGTCGCACATCTTTATTACTTCGTAATCGACGCGCTGAAACCGAAGATCCTCAGGAAACCGTCGAAGCCCGATTTAGGGCACCTTCAAGGGCGAAGACAGAACTTGGACGCAGGGGGGAGATTCCACGAGACGAACTATCACGTCATCCCCTACCCGACGACGATCCTAGATCTGGCGCAATCTCGTCATCATTAGCACTCCGAAGATCTCATACTACAGCCCTCAGTCCTAACAGGGTGCCACAATCTTCTTTACTCACCCAATCGACCCCCAGCAGAAGATATTATGAACGAACACCAGAAAGGGAAATTATTATAAACTCAAGCACGGGTGGCAGTGGCCGAAGATATCTTGAGCGAACTCCAGAGAGAGATACTACAAGCCTTTCAGGAAGATTGGCAGAAGAACGTGGGCAGAGAAAGGTATCTGCCCCTTTGACTTTCGCCGCTAGAAGCAGAGCTGGTAGCCTGATGAGAAGTAGAGAACCATTGGGCCCTTCGCAACATGGTGCTTATCAATAAATTTCATTTATGGTCTTCATTTGTACAAAGAAAATTTGGAGTTCTTTGGGGGTTTCTTTTCGACGCTTTTGCGAACAGGATTATTAGGGGGGAGGATTTCGTTACATTATTTTTTGATTTTATCACCGTAGGGAGAGAAACTTTTTTTTTTCAAGATACCCTGGGTACACACGATGGCACGATTAGAGGGGTTTGAGGATTACATATCAGCGAGGTTACATATCCGCGAGAGGGTTGAGGGGCATACTCTCTAGGTACATATTGCTGCTTGTCTTGGGCGTGCGGTTTTTTTCAGCCTAAGCTTGGGAATTTTTTGGTTGCTTGCTTTATGTGTTTATACAACCAATCACTTTGAATTGTTGCTGGATATGGCTATTCGATTGGAATCCCGCTTTGGCATATAAGGAGACGGATCCAGGTGGATTGGTAGGAGTCCGGGATTGAAGGTGATGGATAGATAGGTGATAGGTGTCTATTTACCTATGAATGTATTATATTTTTATTCACTAGCGATAAATAAATAAATGTAGAGTTTTTTTTTTTTTTTTGCGTAAAGGCATGATCATGACATGATTGATGGTGGTAGTGTAGTATTGTAGTGTTGTAGTATTGCTTTTTCTTTTTTATGGTGATGGTGATAGTGAATGTAATAGTGAATGTGAATGTAATAGTGAGAGAGAATGTATTGTGCTTATATCGTAGGTAGGTAGGTAGGTATCTATTGAATTATATCTGAATGGATATATTAATTAGATGGATTAGATTGGATTGGATTGGATTGGATTGGATTGGATTGGATTGGATTGGATTGGATTGGATTAGATTGGATTGGATTGGATTGGATTGGATTGGATTAGATTGGATTGGATTAATTCAACTCAGATCAAATTTGTTTTGTTTTGTTTTATTAATGATTTTATTCTGTATTTGTATACCTATGATTGATAAGCGAATCTTTCTTTCTTTCTTTCTTTCTTTCTTTCTTTCTTTCTTTCTTTCTTTCTTTTCATCTACTGTATCTCTGTATCTACATAAATCTACCCCACTAAGGTTAAATCAAATACCTAGATCCATACTCGTGCATACAACCTTTTCACCAATCCTTTCCTTTCCTTTCCTTTACTTTTACTCACCCTCTACAAATCATTAATGTACAAAAACTTTCTGCGCATCACAATATTAAGGAATTTGGCATTTGGGAAAGAGCGATTTGGATTTAAGTACTGCGACGTAAGGAAGAGTGGGTTACGGAGTGGGTTACAGAATCGCATGAGAAGTACGTCTTGTGATCTTGATTTTGATCTTGATTTTGGTCTTGGATTGGGATCTGGACTGGAACTTGGGGTGTGTGATTGTAATCGTGGGATTGTGGGGTTGTATACGCATTTGTGGAGGGAAAGGGAAAGGGAAAGGGAAAGGGAAAGAGAAAGGGAAAGAGAAGAGAGGCTTCTTGGGAAAATGGAGAATGTAAGTGTGAGGGATGGGGCGAGAGTGGTGGGAGAGGGAGAGGGAGAGGCGGTGGAGATGGAGATGGGAGGAGGGGGGGATGCGAGGGGTGGAAAGGGTGGGAAGGGTGGGAGAGGGGGGATGAGAAAGGGAAAGGGAAGAGGTGGTGCTAGTGCTGGTGCTGGTACTGGTACTGGGGGGAATGAAAAAAATAGAGAAATACTTGTTAGTAAGGCGTTGTCGAAGTTGTTGAGACATGCGGCGGAGAGTGAGGGGGTGAGGTTGGATGGGGAGGGGTTTGCTAGGTTGGATTTGGTGGTGAGTTTTTGTTTTTCTTTTCTTTTTTTTTGGTTCTTGGTCTTCTGTTTTTTTGTTTTGTTTTTTTTGGTGGTGGTGGTGGGGGCGGGGGGGTTGATAGGGAGAGTTGAAGGGGAGAATAGGAAGGTATCGTATGGGGAGATGGAGGAAGAGAAGAAGGAGGAGAAAAATCACGTGGAAATTCTCAATTTCCATCAACATAACATAACTCATCACATATAATCTCCATGAACCCAGCAGCTCACAAATGTCACAGATGCAATGGCCTCGTCTCAAATCTCTCAAACCTACCTTTGCCGATATCCGCACCGCCGTCACCGATAACGCCAAGCAGCGTTTCTCTATGAAACCCAATCCATCCCTTCCCGAACCGCCTTCTCCTTCTTCCGAAAATCCAGAACATTGGATGATCCGTGCTAATCAGGGACATTCCATCGCGATTGATTCCGCGGCGCTACTGGTCCCCATCACGCTCGAAGCGGGGAATGTACCGGAAACATGTGTGCATGGGACTTATTTTGCTTTTTACGACGAGATTGTCAACAGTGGAGGATTGAAGAAGATGGGGAGGAATCATGTACATTTTGGGGCGGGGGTTCCGGAAGATGGGGGGGTGGTGAGTGGGATGAGGGGAGATGCAGAGGTGTTGATATATGTGGATGTGAAGAGGTGTTTGGTGGAGGAACCGCAGATGAAGTGGTGGGTTAGTGAGAATGGGGTGGTTTTGACGGAGGGGGATAAAGAAGGGGTGGTGGGAACGAGGTTTTGGAAAAGGGTTGAGGGGAGGAGGGAGGGGGGTTTGTTGTGGGTGGATGGGGTGAAAGTGGCGGATTTGGAGGAGGAATTGAGGAATAGGAAGGCGCCGATGGGGAAGGGTGGGAGAGGTGGTGGTGGTGGTAGAGGTAGAGGTGGAAGGGGTGGAGGAAGAGGAAGGGGAAAGGAAGGGAGGGAAAAGGAAGGGAGGGGCGGAAGAGGTGGTGGTAGAGGAGGTCAAAGCTCCGATGGAAATACAGAGATTAGTATTGAAGAAACAAAGCCTGTAGAGGAGGAGAGTTAACGAGATTACTCTACATTGAACAAATCCAATATAACTCCAAAAGTTACTCATACATTCATTTCACATCCCTATTATGCAATGATAATATATATGTATAATAATATAGTCATACTAATAATAATAGTCGCAGCTTCTAATATTTTATCACATTACTTATCTATATATAGATATCTTCTACAAGTAATATGTACGAGGTGGTCTCGATGGTACGAGAAACGATAAATGAGTTAGATAGTAGTACTGACCTTGCAGGTAAACATACATACATATACACATCAAGTCTTTGAAAGGGGAGATTCATAGATGGTCGAGAATATGATGAGATAATGTAGTGTAGCAATCGATATACGAAAATTAAAACTTGACTTTACGTTCTGGAACTCAAGCGGACCTCGTATCTAAGTATTGGTCTTATTATTATGTATATATATATACATATATCCTCATATATACCCCTATCTGCCCATCACTACTCCCTTCTCTCTATTACTCCCTCCGCCCTCCTGTCCCCTCGCTTCCCTCCATCTCCATCTCCACCTCCACCTCCCATCAACTTCCCACTCCCCACTCCACTCCCCTCCTCATCAAAAAACCAAGCACCATCCATCCGTCCACACATCGCCATCCTTTCAAAAAATCGCCCAAGTTTCATCTCTACGACTCAACACCATGTATCTTACATAAACATCTATAAATACCTATCTCCACGAACCCATCCTCCCCTCGAAAAATATCCCCCATATCGTACAAAACTATCGATACACGATCAAAGCCCACACTCATCCGATTCTCCTCGTATATCACTGGTGAAACATTCCAGCCAACTACCCATTCGTCCCGCTTTGACAAATGATAGATCCATAGCGTGGTATTCGCGGGTGGGAGATGTGAAATTCTACAGCACAGACGTGGGGATTGTGAGGACGCAGGGGAGAAGCAAGTGGACGCAAGCGAATGAGATGCAAGATTGGGCATTGGAGGACACACGGTAGGAGAGAGATTTGAGGAAAGGCTGTGGTGGCAATGGCAATGGAGATTACCGGTATGCATAAACAATACTCGTAGGGAGTCGACGAAAACAAAAAGCAAAAAGCAAAATGTCAAAGCGGCACACGTCAACATCCATTGTCCCGAGGATAATTTGCTATCTACTCGTAGCGAGGCTCCAAAAACGAATCAACTTGGAACTATCTCATCATTCGATCAAGATGAAGATTTCGATGCATCACCTACATGAGATCCCCGATTTCATTCATCTCGAATTCAGGGTCCTATCAAAACCACACTCCTCACAGGATGTTGTCCCTAAAACATTCGTCACTAAACTAAGCATACCACTAGTTGCCGATCATTCACCTCACCGGATCCAGAATTTATGCTTCCCGGCTTGATGCAAAAATGTTGATCATTGCGTCACGGTCTTCACAAAAAAAAAAGAAAAGAGAGTACATCTCACGATGTGAAACAATTGATACTCGTCATTCCACTGAGAAACAAAGTTCAAGATTGTGTGGAAGCTACATATGGAAGATGGAAAAAGGAAGAGGGGTATTTGAGCGGCGTCATCTTGAGGCTTTTGTAGATAAGCCCAAGTTTTGAGATCAAAAGTATCTGCGGATGTCGATGTGAATACACATAGGCGTGGCCGTTTCGATGGCTTTGTGATGTTGATATTAATTCTCGTTGAAGTGTACTTGTAGTTTCTCGAGCAACCACTTTCATTACTACGACATGAATCCCCAGCTCAGTGACATTTCGGATACTCTATTACATACCTATGCCCTCAATTCAAAATCCAATGCACGTACTTCGACTCTACAATTAGATAGATATTACCCATCGGGTATATCCTTGCCTTGAACTTTTTTCAGATTCAAGATTCTTAATTTCCGATCCCCACATCATCTCGAGACCTACTTAATCTCAAGACTCAAGAGCGAAAAGGTGCGTCTAAGCACAAGAAATCACGCTAATTGATATCTCGCGAACCGCTTGGTCCCTTTCCCGTCGGTACCGAAGCGACCGAACTTGTCAACTTGAGTCCTGGGTTAGGATTGCACTGGCAACTACTGGTCCTCAAGTTTGCTCGAGTTCTCAGACATTTTGACCAATTAGATGGACAGCCGTATTGGCAACTTGGTTGCAGCGAGGATTTCGTTTAGAGACCTAGTTCCAGATG